TCTTTAATAAAAATATGAGATACCTCCATAACCATGAATAGATGTCAAAGGGGAGAGAAATCCACCCCCTTCCTAAACTATCCATGACCACTATGATAGGATTAAACCCATTGGAGATTGGTGGACCTTCAATAAAATTTATTGTCCGATTCAACTACATATGATCTAGAATTGAAAGAGGTTGGAGGAGGCTAGTTGAAGATAACACCTCTATCTTATTTTGTTGATAGACAGGACAAGCTGAAACATATGAGCACACCTTCTACTTCATCCTTCTCCATTTCATGTTATGTGTGATCCGCATATAAGTTCAATGGAAACCCAAATGACCTCTCATAGTCAAATCATGGAACTCTTATAATATCTGCAAAATGAGTATAGAAGTTGATGATAAAATAAGTTTACCTCTGTAAAATAATTTGTCATGTTGTAGAGAATAATGTGGCCACTTCTCCAATTGTTCAAGAAGATATGAGAGAATTTTATTGAGTTGGGCATCTTCACATATCTCCTTATTGATGACAATGATATCCAAAAGTTTTGGCCATGACAACTCAACTACTTGCAACTCGATTTCATTAGGAGCTCAAAATAAAACATCAGTGGCTGAATTTCCCTTCCCTAATTTAAATTTTATCCCAAAGGAGATATTCTAGATCTTTGAGAGCCACTTATAATACTCTAGCATGACCTATCTCTGATTGAGAATATATTTTAGACTTCTCTAGTCAATATATATGACAAATTTGTGTCAGAAGAGGTAATGTTTCCACTTGAGAATCACAAGTATGATTGCCAGCAGCTCACATTTGTAGATGGATTTTAGTTGACCAATAATCGTCAACACTTGACTAAAATAGGAATGCATCTTCCCCTAGCTTGAACACAACGGAAAAGTTAGAAAGTGCGAAGACAAGTACCATGATCAGAGCCATTTTCAAATCTTGGAAAGCTGCCTTTGCATCCACATTTCAGCCAAATGCATCCTTCTTCAGCTACAACATAAGAGGCTGGGCCTTACAGCTATAATTTTAGATGAAGTGTCAATAGTATCTTGTGCAACCTAAGAACCCTCAAAGTTCTTGGAGATAGGAAGGAGTAGGTGACGTGACTCAATCGTTGTATATTAAATCACGCAAATATAAAATTTATAAAACTAGAAAATACGAATTTTCAGATATTTAGAAGTATTTCTAAATAAATATATCAATTATAATTTAATAAAAATTCTAAAAATAGCGATAATTTTCCAAGTCGATCATAGGGATGTAATATAATATCTGGTAATTATTCAGAATTTTTCTCAATAAATACGATTTTCTTACGAATTTTATACTAGGAAATAAAAAGGAAATATATTTAAAATTCACGAAAAAAAGGAAATAAGGGTGTGGACGTCAGGATGACGTCAGCGCTTGGCGAACGTGAATCAGGCAAAAACAGAGTTCCACCTGGCAATTCTTACGTAAGTGATTACATACGACTTAATTAATCAAATTAAGATATGTAAAAGCTGAAAGAATCGTAATTGAATGAAGTATAGTTTGGTAAATTAAAATCACACAAAGTATCACTAAATGAAGCGTAAATTAAATTGAAAGCAAGAAAATAGAGTTCCGGCATCGCGACGGCGATGCATTGGCGATGCACCAGAATCTTGAGCGTTCGGGAGGATCATCGTGCAGTGTCCATAACCTCGAAGGCTCTCCTTGGATAAAGATGACGTGGGCAATCTCTAGATCTTCTCGCGAAGTCTAGAGATCAATGAAGTGGGTCGTCGAATCGTCTCCGATGGCTGTCACCCGACGGAGCGGAAAAACGGCGACTTTACGGCTCTCCAGTGGCTGTCACACGATGGAGAGGAGCTGGATAGAGGTGGGGCGCGTGTCAGGGAGCTTCATCCTCAGGTCCGCACAGCAAGAGGAGGCTCTTCATTGCATCTGGTATGCTCTCAGGAGGTGGCGACTGGTCCCCCGGCAGATCATCCTCTTCCTGACGATAGCTTGTTCGTCGATCAATCGAAGATGATTTACTTGATGGATTCACAATCTTTTTATCGCGAATCATTCATCAATTTTAGTAGCAATGCTCCGCGAATCGCGTTGACAAGATTTTTGCCGATGATCCAACAATTCTTGTTGCTTAATCTTTCACCGGCGATCTGCAAGAAAGTCGCGATAATCAAATAAAAATATATGAATTTTGACTCTGGAAGGATTCAAACCCGCGCCGGTCGCCCGCCTGTGAGGAAGGTGTGACGCCGGTTTAGTCCCACATCAGTTGTGCGCCAATTTTTTGGGCGAGTATATATTAATGTTAGCTTTGTAAGTAAAGTCTGTTCTCTCATGTGTACGACCACTCCTTGCCCCACAGCCGGCTGCCCACCAGTGACATGGAAGGGGAGTGGCGTACGCGTGCCCTATCAGTCCCCAAGCCAAGCTGCTCGAGCCCTTGCTCGCGGCTTACTCCCCGACTGCACTTCCGACCCGCTTGCGGGCCCAGTTGGCTGGCGGGTCCCCCCATTTTTGCAATATTTTTATTTTTATTCCTTGTTCTTCATTTATCTCAAAAGTAAGACTGTAAAAATCATATAAAATCACATAATTACCCAAAAATTCACGTTAATTAATTGAAAATCAAAAATCATTCTTTAACACAAATATAAGTCTATTTATCATGAGTTAAGGCTAAAATTATATTATTTACTAATTATTAACTCATGATAATGAAGACTTATCAGTAGGCCACTGTTGCAATGCAAGCATCTTGTCTTGATCGACTACCACCTCATCATCGGAGATCTAGTGTCCCAAATAAGCAATCAAAGATTGCCCAAATGAGCACTTCTGAGAATTTCCATGGAAGTCATTGTCTTGTAAAATCTAAAATACTTAGAGTAGATGGTCGAGGTGCTCTGTTGTGCTCTAATTGTAAATAAGAATGTCATGAAAATATATAAGCACAAATCATCTCAACACTGTGTAAGACAAAAATTCATCATCAATGGAAAGGTTGCTAGAGCATTAGAGAGGCTGAATGGCATTATGAGAAACTCATAATAACCTTTGTGTGTGCAGAATGTAGTGTTCAAGATGTTCTCCTAGCACACTTGAATTTGATGATATCCAGACCACATGTCCAACTTTGAACAAATCCAAGCTCCATGTAGCTTGTCCATCAATTCCTCAACAACTAGGATGGAGAATTTGTTAGGAATGGTGACACTATTGATCATGTGATAATATATGCATAGTCACCATAATCTGTCATTCTTCATAATGAGAAAGGTTAGGCTTGAAAAATATGGGTATTTAAATGGTCAGGCATGCACTGATTTGATTCTTGGCTCAAGTGGAATCTTATGATCCATCCCATGGTTAAGTAGGAGGCCTGTGAGATCTGCAAGCACCATCAAGAAACATTGTTGCAATGTAGCCACCAGTGGTGAGAGTTCCTCCTTCACATTTGAGGAAGATAGAAGGTATACATTGACATATAGCTTGCCTTGTCGAATGTGTCCAACTAAGGATTAAAGAGTAAGGGAATTACAAAGCTCAAGAGTCTCCCCCAAGGTGATTTTTTATGTTCTAGCTTGAAATGAGAGGGTCCATGCCTTGAAATCCATTTCAATCTTCTAATAGTCCCTCATCCATCTAAGACCAAGGACAATGTTGACCATAGCCAAGGGAAGATGTTACTAAGGTCTGCCTATAGGAACCACCCTTGGCATCAGCACTGTGGCACATGTTAGCACAACATCAGCATGCTTCGACATGGCAGCTGCACATGACGACATGGCATCCGCTCGTGGAAGCACAATGCCCACACGCACCAGCACAACAACTACACACACCGGCACAATGCCTACACATGGCGGCATAACATCGGCTCTAAGAGACAATATGACATGGCACACAACTCCAATGTGGTGACCCAAGGCCATGAGGGCAGCTGATGATGTCACAAGCATGACATCATCTGAAGGAGGAGCAGAGGACGTCTCCAGCCCAACATCACTTAAGGTGGGAACCTTTAATCTCATACAAGAAATGTGAGGATGGCTAACTAGGGGAGTGTCCATAAAGAAGGACCATTGATCTGATGTATGAGCCTTCAATTATCATGATTATTTATATTGGTCACCTATGGGCCTGTTGGGGATCAGAACACCCAAGTGCCTGACACGGACTTTGTGTAGAGCAGCCGACACCCTTGTCATAGTGGCATTAGAGCCAGGTTGTGAAAAAGGTCAGACATCTCTATCCCTTTCTTTTTCTTTGAGCATCGATATAGTGCCATAGAAGTGGAGGGTAGAGTGGATATGAGTGGTATCTAAGGATAGAGAATTGCTCGGCTGTCAAAATAGTAAGAAGCTATGGCTAGGACTATTGAGACCCTTATGGGTCAATTACAAGTTGAGTCTAGCAGCTTATGAGAATAGATGATGGGCTTGAGGGCCCAAATGAAAGACTAGACCCGTGAGGTAATTGATACCTTGATGGAAAAATTTAACAAAGAAATCAGGTTGATCTATGACAAGATGGGGTAGATGGTCACGTCATATGAAGCTTAAAAAGATGACATATCGACATTGAGGAGAGAATTCAACCAATGAATGTCTATACTACAACAATAGATGGAAGAAGACGAGTGATCTCTAAAGTAGGATAGGCAACATCCAAAGACATCTAGGGCAATCCTCAAGGGTCAGATTATCTATAGTCAAAGTTCCCAAACCTAAGGTTTACTTGGGGGAGTAGGATGCCATGCTGATCAAGAACTTCCTTAGGGATCAATAAAGGTATCTCAATGCCAATACTTCCTCAAAAGAAGAGAAAGTCTTCTTAGGCAGTTTATTTCTAGTCGAGCATGCCAAGACATGGTAGAGACTCCAAATAGAAGATCATTCAAGGCCACCAATGACCATGTGAGACAAATTCGTCAGAGAGATTCGAAAGTAATTCTACCTAGTGAACTCAAGGGGAGCCACTCAAATGGCTATGAGGCAACTAAAACACACTAGAGCTACCAAGGAGTATGTAGAAAAATTCTCAACGCTAGTATTGGTGGTATTGAGGATAGATGAAGAGGATAAACTCCACTACTTCATGGAGGGATTATAGATGTGGGCTCAGAATGAGATCAAGATGCAGGGTGTCTAGGACCTCCAGGTAGCCATGATTGTGATAGATGGGCTAGTTGACAATCGACATCAGCAATAAGACAATAGTGACAAGACATCCCAAGGAAATAGATCGCACAATAATAATAGAGGATGAGGTCGACCAACCATGACAACGGGAAGGGGGACAAGGGCAAACCAATAGAGAGGCCCAACTAGGGGTATCTTATAAATAGAGGGCCCAAAATGGACAACATCTACGAGGATTCTTACTGTAGTGCCAATTGCATTGACTGAGCAAACCAACACATGACAAGGGCCCGACTCAAACCTATCATGGCATAGGAGCAACCATCACCAGTGATTGAAGAGGTACCAAACTTAAACACCATTCAGCTTTTGAATGTAGTGCAGACAAAGGCCCTCCAAGCGACCCCCAAGCTGCTACTTTTTGTGGAGTCAATGATTGATGACATCATGACTAGGGTGCTGGTGGACTCAAGGGCCACTCACAATTTTCTATATGAGAGGAAAGCTAGTAGTCTTCAATTAAAACTTACTCAAACAAGTAACAAGATCAAGGCCATCAACTTTGAAGCCCAATCATCCATTGGGTTAGCCCGACAAGTGAAGACCTGGATGGGTGTATGGGAAGACAAGTTGAACTTCCTAGTCCTACAGATGGATGACTTCGACATTATCCTAGGAGCCGACTTTACAATCAAAGCCAAGATAGGGATCTTCCTCCACTACAATGATCTCATTATCTGTGGTGGAGATCAGTCCTATTTCGTGCAAGGAGCCATGTAGGAGATAGAGAAGCCTCAACGAATCTTAGCCATGTAGTTAAAGACCGACCTCAAAAATGAAACTGATACCTTCCTCATCACCCTATGAGAGGTAGAAGAGGAAGAGAAATGGGTAGTTCATCCTCAAGTATTTGCCCTTACTCGACAAATTACCTACCACACTATTGCCTATGTGGGACATAACATACTATCAGACTACTATCAAGAGAACATCCCCCCAACTAGGGCTCCATACAAGATGCCCCCAATGCACTTAGAGGAATTGAGGAAGTAGTTGAAAGAATTACTAAAGGTGGGACACATATGCCCCTCACAAGCACTATTTGGTGCATCGGTTCTCTTTTGGCAAAAGAAAGATAAAATGTTGAGGCTTTGTGTGGATTACAGGGTTCTAAACAAGATCATAATGAAGAACAAGTACTTAGTACTGAACACAAAAGACTTGTTTGATCGATTGAGGGACGTGAGGATTTTCTCAAAGTTAGACCTAAAGGGTGGGTACCATCGTGTCTATATTAAAAGAGGAGATGAATAGAAAATAGTGTGTCACATGCTATGGGTCATATGAATTTACCATAATACCTTTTGGGATGACAAATTCTCCAACAACATTTTGTGCCTTGATATCACATATTTCAACCCTTTTTGAACAAATTTGTCATTGTATATCTAGATGACATTGTAGTATATAGCCAAAATATATAAGAGCACATGTAACATTTACGATCGATATTGGAAACCTTAAAGCATCACCAACTATATTTGAACCCTACCAATTGTGCCTTTGTCATTGAAGATGTAGGATTCCTTAGCCACGTGATCAATGGAGGGAGAGTATAGATGGACCAAAAGAAAGTGGTGGCAATCAAAGAATGGCCAACACCTAAAGGGGTGGTCGAGTTTGAGGTTGTTCTTGGGGCTCATCAACTACTATCATAAATCCATCCAAAGTTTCTCTCAAATAGCAGCACCATTGACAAAGCTCTTTATGAAGGTCGAAAAATGGGTATGAGTTGAGAGCTGTTTACAAGTTTTTGATGAACTACAAGCAATAGTTACAAAGGAGCTAGTACTTTAGCTCCCAAACTTTCACAAGTCTTTTGAAGTCTATACCAATACGTTAGAGGTGATGATTGGCGAAGTGTTGATGTAGGAAGGATACCCTATCGTGTTTGAAGGTTGAAAGTTGAGCGACATGGAGCAATGATACTCAGTACAGAAGTAGGAGATAACAACAATCGTCCACTGCCTATGGGTATGGCGACAATATCTTATCATTAATCATTTCACTATTTATACTGACAATGTGGCCCATTAGGGCCTTATATATACACATGTAGTCCTCTAATGTGTATGATATATTTTAAGGTTTCCCTTTTTTAATCGTCACATGGTATCATAGCCCTAGGCTCTCTCCGCCACTACCTCCCTCTTTGGTGCGCCACTAAAGTGTTGATGTAGGAAGAACACCCTATCGTGTTTGAAGGCTAAAATTTGAGCGACATGGAGTAATGATACTTGGTACAGAAGTAGGAGATAACAACAATCGTCCACTGCCTATGGGTATGACGACAATATCTTCTCATTAATCATTTCACCTTTTGTACTGACAATTTGGCTAGGGCCTTATATATACACATGTAGTCCTTTAATGTGTATGATATATTCTAAGGTTTCCTCTTTTTAATTGTCAACATGGTATCATAGCCCTAGGCTCTCTCCGCCACTGCCTCCCTCTTCGGTGCGCCACCCTCCTTCAGCAGCGCCCTTCTCCTCTCGGTGGCACCCACCTCCTAGCACCAATCTTCTAGTTACATCCTCCATCAGGATAGGCCGGAAAGGTGAAAACCTTACTAGACAGGCCAGCAGAGTGGGCTGCGGGTGACTCCAGCCAGCAACAAACTGTTCCGTCCAACTGCCACCTTCTGCAGGACGTGTCGGGCCATCCCACAGCACTTGAAGCTGGGTCGTGACGCTGACCCGATCTTCCAAACTTCACGGGCTTGGACCCCGAAGGGTGGATTTTTCGGGCCGAACTCTACTTCTCCACCTACTGGGTGCTGGCACCGGAGAAACTTATAGAGGCCACCCAGTAGGTGGAGAAGTAGAGTTCGGCCCGAAAAATCCACCCTTCGGGGTCCAAGCCCGTGAAGTTTGGAAGATCGGGTCAGCGTCACGACCCAGCTTCAAGTGCTGTGGGATGGCCCGACACGTCCTGCAGAAGGTGGCAGTTGGACGGAACAGTTTGTTGCTGGCTGGAGTCACCCGCAGCCCACTCTGCTGGCCTGTCTAGTAAGGTTTTCACCTTTCCGGCCTATCCTGATGGAGGATGTAACTGGAGTTGAAGCTGTTTGAGCGACTGGGCAATGGCCCCAAGTTGGTGTTTGAGTGCTATCTGCTCCCCTTTCAGTTCCCGCAAATGGTTCGCTTGTTCTGTGGTGCTGAGGAGTTTGACTGCCTCTTCTTTCTCCAAGCTCTCAAGCTTGGGGTCAACGGGTTTAAGCCCCATGTGGACTCATGCGGCTCTGATACCACGTTGATGGGTGCCCTTACTGATACGCCCACTGAAAGAGGGAAATGGAATGAAAAAGTGAAGGGAACTCTTATTCCATGTTCTACGAACAGAGACGACAGGATAACAGACGACTCATAGGACCCTCAAACCTAGACGAGAAGGGTGTGACTCGGGTGACACAAAGGAGAAGGCTGGGTAAATAGAAAGATAGGTGAGGTAACCACGCATGGACCCTTGATTGGCGATTCGAGATAGCCACTCTCCTCTCTTCACTCGGGAAGCTGGAAAATACTTGATGCCTTCCTTCTTCTTTCTTTTATCTTTTTAAAGGCCGTGATCCTTATTGTTTGGCGAGTAGTCTGCATGTCCTTCTGCCACCGTTAGGCCGTTATCCGTCATTCCAGTCTTTAAGGATCCGGAGACGACGGTTTCAGGCCAGTCTTAACCCCGAATCTTCCGTCTTCCGTTACTGTCCCGGCCTATTAACAGATCTTGAGGGCGGAACGGCTGTATACCCGTAGTTCTATTGCCACGTGGGTGGGGGCTAATGGTCATGATCTCAACAGCACACCCATCGGGCACATGTTTCTGACATGAGTGGCTGTTGGACCACGACATGTTAAGTTGAACCAAGAAGACATCTGAATGAAGTGGTCGTAGATGGAGGTCCTCTGGACGGAGTTTTTGGGGTCTTGAAGGCCCAATGGGGACGTCTAAATGGGCCCATAATTTATTTACGGTCCATTCCGGAGCCTGTTATTCCGAATCCCCATCTGGCCCATTTTGGAACCGGTTGATCAGTACGTTGCAATCAGACGGTGGTGGGTGTTGGACCATGGTATGCTAAATTGAACCCGCACACATCTGAATACTTTCGTCAACCTGTCGTCTCTACTTGGGAAGTAGTCTTCCCCCTCCCCACCTCTTACATTGGCGCGATATCCGTTATGGATAGAGGAGTCGCCGACGAGGGAAGCACCGGTAATTCCGGCCGCTTTTCTCCTTCTCTGTGGGCTAACTCTTGTCAGCTTTGCGTGGATGCTGTTTGGAATCCTCTTGTAGCTTAGCTTTGGATTCCGTTCTGGTTTCCGCTCTAGTGCTGTCCTCTTGATTTTACGGAAAATGATGCTCGGATGTTTTATTCTTTCCCTGAGTTGAGGCTTAGAAAACTCCTGATGTCTCCCTCCTTTCAAAATTTTCCAGGTTCTGTTCGATCAGTGGCAGTAGTCGGTGGTGGAGTTAGGTACGCTTTCATGAACGTTTGATTATTAGCATTTCATTTTCGACGTTTGAATACGTAATTCCTTTGTGGACACACGGGGATTTTCTACCAGCTGAGTTTACTGCCCCTGTGCTAGTTCAAGTACAGCGGTATATATATGGATGGCTTCCAAACCTCGAAGCGTATGTAAGGGTGGGTATCAGTCTGTGTCCAGTGGCCCTTTCCATGGGTAGTTTCTTTTTCACATGGAAGTTTTTAAGATGCCAGACGGTGACGATCTAGATGCTCATGTATTTCATGGCATGGCATTTCTTATACTCGACTTTCAACATTTGACTGGATCCTGTTATCGACGTGCCAGAGTTTGTCACTTTTTCCTTCTGCTAATGTCCCATTTTGTTTTTATCTATATCTAGATGCATGTTAATATTTCCTGCAATGATCAACAGTGGGCTTGCTGCTGCGTACAAGCTGAAATCAAATGGGTTGCGGGTTGTTGTCTTTGAAGCTGAAGGAAGGGCTGGAGGAAAACTTAGAAGTGGTTCTCAGGAAGGTCTTATATGGGATGAAGGAGCCAACACTATGGTATGCTTCATAGAACATTTTGTTATTAAATTTCAATGCAAGGGCTGGTGTTTTTTTGTGGTTATTTTCTTCTCAAGAAAATATTAGCTGAATTTTATGAGGATTATCATTTTAAAAGCTTATCTTTTTCTGCAGGCAGAAAGTGAGGAGGAGGTTGGCATGTTATTTGATGATGTAGCCCTGCGGGACAAGCAGCAGTATGTATGTTTTCTTTTGCAGACTTAGTGTTCCTCATCACATAATCTGACACAGTTTATTCAGAATGTATGATAGCATTAATGTTTGAAGAAAATGAGGAAAAAGCCAGGATATTATTAATCTCCATGAAGTCTCTCATTCACCAAGTTCTACTGACAACATAGGAACGTTATCATTTACCCGAATTTTAGGTTTTACCAAAAAGATAGAATGATTCCTTACCCACACCAAAATTTTCACATTTAATATCGAAATGAAAAAGACTATACTATAAATGCTTGGCCATAATTATGGGGAATAATTTTATAAGACTGACTATATTTTTCGTGGATACAACACCTAAATCAGTGGGTCTCTAATTTTGTATGGGATTTAAAGTGTACAGAAATTATTGATACAGTGTGGTTTATATCCATATGTTTTGTGACGTGTTGGATGATTGTTTAAATATTGGGATCAGCTTTCATCTTTGTCAATGAACCTGTATTGGTTGATGCTACTGGTCTTCTTTGCTGATACCTTTTGTATAGTGTCAAGAATTGGTTGAAGGGTAGAGGGAAAAAAGACGAATTTTCAGCCCTGAATATGAAATAAATATGGTATTAATGTCATTTTTCGTATACACATGATCAACGGCTGACTAGCTATCTACCTGTAGGAAGCATAAAGATGGTGAATCTGCAATGTATGTGCTTTTGCCTTGCAGTATTTGTTGTGTATTTGTCTTTTTCGATAATAAGGGAAAATATTATCTGCCTCAGGGAGCACTTTTAAAGAAATTACTTTCGAGCATTTTTGAAACAGGGAAAGGAAAATTTTAATTTCTCAGTATTCTCGTGAAAGAAATTTATTTCAGTACGCACTTTGTAATAAATTTCTTTGAAAAAATGAATCCAAAAGCACCTGTGCCTTCTGTACTAAAATGTGTCTAACATCTATGCATTGGCAGGCAACGTCTTGGTTAGTTTTTATTATAATGGTCAAGAACTTTCAAGGATTTATATTTAAACTTTCTTGTGCTGCAGCCACTTTCGCAAAACAAGCGGTACATTGTGAGAAACGGAATTCCTGTACTGGTATGTTTATGCACACCTACACTTCAATCATAATGTCTTAGGCTATCCATGACAGAAAAAGAAAATTTCTTCGTTCACCTTCATTTACATTTTTTGCGAGTTAAATTGCTATTTCTTTATTTTCTCCCTGCTTTTGATACAGATTCCGTCAGATCCCGTTTCTCTGATCAAGAGCAACTTTCTTTCGACAAAAGCAAAGGCAGGTACTACTGCCATTATTTGATAAGATATTTAAGTATTTTCATAAATTAATCACATTCCTTTTTTTTCTCCCTCTCTGACCTGACATCAGTTAAATGCCCATTTAGCTTTAGAGTGTTTTGCATGGGGTGTGCCATTGGTTTTGAAAAATGTATTGCCAAAGTCATTTTTGGGCAAGTATCTGTTGTCCTGCATCTCACTGGAAGAATACAGATCAAAATGATGAAATTAATAACTAAGATTGCCTTAATTCCTTCTTAGCTCTTTCCAATGTGTTCAAACAGACTTTCCTAGCTCTGTGTGATACACAAGAACATCACCACTTATGCTTAGTTATGAAATGTTACTATCATCTGCGTGGCTGCGGTATTTTTAATAAATAATGGAGGAAGGGGGGTAGATAGTGTATCACTCAAATAGGCTGTGCTATAAAGGAGGATAAAAGTTTATTTTATTATTAAGTTATAATGGGAAATTATGGTAAGGTAAAAATCATTCTTCTTTTTAAAGGTTTTTTTGCTTTGTTGTCATGTAGAACTCCGAAACTCATTATCTTATACAATCTCTTTTTCATTCTTGAAGGCAATATGGATTTATATCTTTTGTTCACCTAATATGTGCCCTGTCGCTTTGTGTATGCAGTTTCGAATGTTATTAGAGCCGTTGGTTTCTTACAGGAGAACAAAGCCCTCAAAGGTGTCCAATGAACATATAACAGAAAGGTGGTTACGAATACCACTTATATCTCTTCTCGTGTATTATTCATGCCTTACGTGGGCTATGAGTTTGTCTATAGTTTCGTGTCTATTTTATTTTCCTTTTGTAATTAATTACTTTATCATTGCATCATTGCATCCATGCATTTTCGAATGAGCATAAGCTTCGTCGGAGTATACTAGTTATCGTATATTAAATACATGTATGGAGGATTTAATGGAATTTCGGTTTTCAATGGAGAGTAGGATGTGCTTCAATTGCTGAGGTATAAAAACAAACCATAAGCTCCAATTCTTAGGATGTGCTCCAAGATGTGCTCCAATGCTGAGAGTAGCCGACTATTCTTCATTCCAAGATGTGCTCCAATTCTTTTAGTCCTGGGAGTGGTTCACTCCATCTGATGGCCTCTGCGGAAGCTATGTTACCCTAACACTCATACATCTAAAAGCCAAATTTTATAATGATTTTGATAGCAATAAGGCCTCAAATTTTGTGTCAACAGCTTGAGATGCAGTGTATTTATTATAATCCACCTCATTGAAGACAGAAAATGGCCCTGGCTGTCCCCACTGTAGGTTGTGGGTCTTAACTCTGTACGTAGGCATGAAATGGCATTCTTAAGGCTTGATCATACAGTGATAAAACCTGCTCCTTAGTGCGAGAATGGACTCTTGTCATTGTGTAGTCGAAAAAGGCCGCAAAGCTTGTCCTTCCTGGCTGTTTGTTTTTTCCACGAAGGACCTCATTAAAGTGAAATTGCACTCCAACTTGCAAACTCTCTCAGGGCGACATTATCTTTCTGTTGATATCATTGGTTTCTACATTGATAGTTCTTGTTTTCTCTAAGTGGATGGCTTTATGTAGGTGGTTTTTTTCTTATTCACAATAGATATGGTGGATAGCTCTTCATGAAGCATATTTAATGCAAAATCTAGTTATTGTGCGATAAATCATATCAACTTTCTAGTTGTGGGTGTGTTAGAATTACAATTCCGGTAGAGTGAAAACTTGAGGTCTTTTAAGGGTTACCAGGCTGCGTTTGTGGAGCCACTATAAAATCTTCTATTGCTTGCCACGTTTTCCCTTGTCTTATTGGTCTCATTACTTAGTTATTTTTGCCATTTAAAATTGAACTTTAGATGCCCAGGTCACCCTCTTCCCTTTTTGCTGTGGCACTCAGAGATAGTAGCAAGAAGCACAGGATCACATGTACAGGGTCTCTTTTTGCAACTATGCATCTATTTTATCAGTCATGTTCAATCAAAACACTAATGAAACCAAAAGCACTTGTCTTGTATACTTGATCATTTTTTTTACTTATATTAAGACGTATCTACAAGTCATTTTGGATGTCGAAAATAACTTGGGCTGGTGCCAGTAACCATGTGGAGGACAGGGCACCTATAAGCTGCCTCCTCACTTCTTTTGGCAAGCTTTTTGACCGACTGAGTTTGGGCATGAGTTTGCCTACTTTTGAAAAGTAGACGTCTTGATGGTCCTCAATTTTGAATTTTTTTCCTCCCCACTGTTTCTTTGTCTAAGCTTCACAAATTTCCTGGAAAAATGTTTCTCGTTAAAACGTTAATCTGCACTGTCTGTACCCATGTTAAGAAGACAAACACTTCAAGAATATGCTCATTGATGTTACTTCCTGACAGAACCGAGCGGCATACTGTCCAGGATGTAGCATACTTGATATGACTTATAATACTTTTCTAACAGCTATCTTCTATATTTCCCCTTATCACATTTTTGTCGAACGTGGGAGAAATTTTCTGAGTTACCTGCACATCCATATAATGCAGTGTAGGGCAGTTTTTTCAGCGGCATTTTGGAAAAGAGGTACGATTTTTTTTAAATCACTTTGTAGAAATTCTCATGAAATAATTTGGTACAAAGAATTTATCAGTTATTCATCTTTCTATGTGTTTTTCATGGATGTCCTTTCCTTGAAGGTTGTTGATTATCTGATTGACCCATTTGTAGCTGGTACAAGTGGGGGTGATCCTCAATCGCTTTCTGTAAGCATTACCTATTTCTTTAAACAACTGTGCATTGCATATGTCCCATCAATTCAATAGCACGGTAGTAGAAAGATTGTGCTATTTACTGGTTTTTGTAACTAGGAGCGTATGATTCAACATTTGCTTCCCAGTGCCGAAGCAATTCTCCTCTGGGGGAAAGTGCATTATGATCTGTATTCCTACATTTGATCTGGTCTATTGTTGTTATCTGCATAACATATAGTTTAATGAAAATTATCTATGTGCCATCTTGTTATTTAACTTCGTTTTTTTAGTGGTTACTCTGACACTTTACGGGGGCTGTTTAGTGGCAAAATTGATACGAAAATTTAGTCTAATCAATTTTTTTTACCATAATCCTAGTTTAATTTTCTATATATTTTTCTGACAGATGCGGCATGCATTTCCTGAGATATGGAATCTACAAGAGAAGTAAGATCTGTGCTACTTGGCATGACAACTGACTTATTTTTGAGGAAAAGAAATCCTTTATTCCTAGCAGTTCACCAAATGCTTTTGCTGTTTTGTTTCTCCTTTAGACATGCAGTTGTACCTTGTAAAGCAATGTCTTGCTTCTGGGATTCTAGCTTACATCAACCTAGATACACTGTCAATTCTTGTTCTTTCGTGTTTGTGGCTTCTTGCTGTTAGAAATAATTTTTTCATCTACTGTTTAGTCCTTTATTTTCCTGTCCATCATACCTTGTAACAAAACAATAGACTGAACTGGTTCAATTTGAACTGGCCCGGTTTACCCTCTCCCATTTCATAACAGCTGGTCGGTATAAATACCAACCAGCATGTAAGCATTTGTGTGTGATGAATTTAGGGCTTCAGACTTCTTCTATTTTCGTGTCTCTCTCTTGTGTTACTGCTGGAGAAAGAAGGGAGGCATTCGGAGATGATCAAAGTCCAACACGATTACTAATATGGTATCAAAGCACAGATGTGATCACTCCAGTCTCCTCTGATCTTTTGAGCTTTTCGTGAACAACAATCTTTTATTTTCAAGAGATAACACATTTCTTTGTGACTTGTTAGAATAAGTCACAAGTTGTCCATTAATTCTGCACCATCTAGGTGAGAATCTAGCGCTATTGACCTACAAAACACGAACTTTGGGTTTGTGTCTTGATCTGTAGATTAACTCCTTCTTTCTAAAACAAATATACCTAATTCTTGAGTTCTCAAGAATGTCTGAAGCGAATTCTATGGTAGAACAAGAACAATCCCGATCTGTGAGGAACCTGGTTTAATTTATGGAGATTTGCCAATTATACCATAAACAGATTATCTAGATGGTAGGAATTACTTTGGATGGTCTCAACAAATTTGAGTTGTTCTTAAAGGATGGGGAATGGCAAATCATTTAGCTTATCCAAGTTTGAAGGCTGGAGATCTGAGATTTAGAGCATGGGACCAAAAAGACTCAAGAATCATGACTTGGATGTGGACAATCATGATTTTTGAGATCTGTAGAACATGTTTGTATCTTCCTACAGCTAGAGCAATTTGGGAAAATTTATATTAGACTTATTCAAGAGCAAGAGATACTACACAACTTTATGAATCAAAGTTAAAGATGATAACCATGATGCAAGGGAAAAAATCACTGACATAATACACTCATGAAGTAAGAACATTATGACGAATTTGATCAATATAAAATTATTGATATGAGAGATCCATTTGATGCATCTTTGTATAGAGAGGAAATAGAAAATGATAAAACCTATGAATATCTTGTGGGACTGAACTCTGAACATGATCAAGTTAGAATTCAAATCCTAAGAAGAGAGGAATTACCTCCTCTGAATGAAGTAATCTCCCTCATGAGAGGAGAAGAAAGTCATCGGAACCTAATGCTTGTTTCTTATAATGTGAAAAATTCAGCATTTATGACTAAAAATGAAAAACATTATGACAATAATAGTACCAAAACAAGGGGTGAATCAATAGGACAAGAGAGGACTTCTAGCAATGATTTTAGAGACAAGGCATGGTGTTCATATTGTAAGAAAGTGAGGCACACAATTGACAGGTGTTATAAATTACATGGGAGGCCTCAAAGTCATGAATGGGCACAAAAGAAGGGACAACAAATGAGTGAAAATCAAATACATATATCTGTTGTCTAACAAGGGGAAGTAAATACTTCAGCTGTCATAGAAGAAGTTCCACAAGCCCAAGTATTACAAGCTTTGTGTTCACCTAAATGTTCAAGTAAGTCTTCAACTTTTATTGGGTTGAGTGCCTCAACAAATAGTAAATCTTCACCCTAGATCATTGATTCAGGGGCCACAGAACATATAACCTATGCCTCTCATCTATTTAATCATATGCTCATCGTCCAAGCAATAGAAAAATTACCACAGATGTTGGCTCCTTAGTCACAGTTGTTGGGATAGGAAACATTTGCCTATCACTGTATATTACCTTGAAAAATGTACTTCATGTTCCTATGTTGACCACCAACCTAATTTTTGTTAGCAAACTCACATGAGACCTAAGTAATCTTGTGTTTAATTCTAATACTTATTTGTTTTTTAACAAGATGTATGGGAGGAAAATTGTATGTGTTAGAGAATGGAGTAGACTCTATTATTTAGAACTTCCAAGCTAATCAAACATTGCAATAGATCAAAATAACATTCTCAAGAACCTTGACCTGTCAAATAGTGAAAAATTTGGCTTCAATATCAAAGATTAAGACATCCCTCATTTTTTATTATGAAGAGTTTGTTTCCTTCTTTATTTCACAACTTGAATACCTCTAAATTCAAGTGTGAAGCATGTGAATTTGCCAAACATCAAAAAATACCCTTCCCTAAAAATAATATGAAGTGTTCAATACCTTTTTTCTATGTTCATAGTGATGTATGGGGGCCCACACACCTAGCACAAGTGGAGCTAGGTGGTTTATCACCTTTATTAATGACTGTACAAGGATGACATGTATTTATTTGCTTAAAAATAAATTTGACATAAGTATGGCACTCATACAATTATGTTCTTTAATAAAAACTCAGTTTGAGACAACAATTCAGAGGTTTAGATCTGATAACGTTGAAGATTACTTCAATCATACCTTAACATCTTATTATGTGTCTATACACCCCAACAAAATGGGGTGGCTGAACAGAAAAATGATCATCTATTAGGGATGACCAGAGCTCTCATTATTTAAAACAATGTACCAAAAATTTTTGGAGTGAGGGAGTTCTTATGGCTGGCCTACTTATAAATCGTCTAGCAACTAAATCTTTGAATTTTAAAAGTTTAGTTGACATGGTATCTTTCTTTTATCCTCATATTCCATTAAAAACGAACCTCATACTTAGAATATTTAGTTGTACACCATTTGTTCATATTCATGAAGAGCATACAGAAATTAGATCCTAGAGCTATAAAATATATTTTTGTAGGATATTCCCAAACATAGAAAGGATATTATTACTATTATCCTTCAACAAAGAAATTTTTCATCTCAAGGGATGTTACTTTCAATGAAAAGGAAGCATACTATAGCACATCAAATCATCATGATAAGATTCAAATGTCAAAGGATCTAGAATTAGATTTTTTACTTCTTATTGTCAATTCATTATCAGACCTCACTATGGCTCCCATCAAACCACTTATTCTTGAATTGACTCCTAATGTATACCTCGAAAGAGTAAGATTTGGCTAAGTATATTCTAAAAAAAGGGAAATACTTCAAAATCTATGCATGTTCAAGAATCCTTCTAGGATGAGTCAAATGAGACATCTCAAACCAACACCTTACCTATTGATGAAGACTTACCTATTGCCCTTCGAAAAGAGAATATACTAAAAAACTATTATATTATATGACACTTTTTTTGTCATATAACAGATTATCACTTTCACACAAGGCCTTTGTATCTAACTTAAATTCTACCTCAATCATAAAGACTATTTTTGAGGCTTTAACTCATGAGAAGTGGAGACAAGCTATGAATGAGAAAATGGAAGCTTTGAAAAAAAATGATACTTGAGAACTTATACATTTAGTAATATGGAAAAAGGTTGTTGGCTGCAAATGGGTGTATATAATTAAATATCATTCAGATGGAACTATAGAAAGGCAAAGCCAGGCTATTTGCAAAAGGATATATACAAACTTATGGAGTTGATTATCTTGAAACCTTTGCACCAGTAGTAAAAATAAATACAATCAAAATACTTTTGTCATTGACTATTAACTCTAATTGAGCTCTTCAGCAATTTGATGTTAAGGATGCATTTTTACATGATGAATTAGAAGAAGAAATATGTATGGAGGTATCATATGGTTATGAGAGAAATTCAGATGCTAATATTGTGTGCAAACTGAATAAAGCATTGTATGGACTAAAATAATGTCTTTCAGCTTGATTTGGTAAATTCATGAAAGTTATGCTCACAATGGGATATAAACAAAGTCAAGGTGATCACACTTTATTTGTCTAACATTCTTCTTCAGGGGGAGTCACAATTCTAATAGTTTGTGTATGATATTATTGTGACTGGAAATGATGATGTAGAAAAAAAAATTTAAGTCAATGTTTATCTGAAGAATTCGAGATGAAAATTCTAAGAAGATTAAAATACTTCCTTGGTATTGAAGTTGCCTATTCGAAGAATTTAATTTTCCTGTCTCAACAAAATATGTGATAGTTTTAGTACAAGAAACTAGACAAACAGCCTAGAACTAGTTAATTCTCTAATTGATCCTAGTCTCAAGTTAAGTGTAATATAGGAAGACATTGTTGTGGATAAAGGGATGTATCAATGACTGATAGATAAATTGATTTATCTATCACATACACCGCAAGACATAACATATGCAGTTCATGCACAGTTCAAAACTGATACATTTGCAAGCAGTATATCGTGTTCTACACTTTCTAAAAGAAATACCAAGAAAAGGCATTCTATTCAAAAAACATGATTATCTAACACTTGAAGTTTACACAGATGTAGATTATGTTAGATCTATTGTAGATCGATAATCAACATTAGGATATTGTACATTTATTAGAGGTAATCTTATTACTTGGAGAAGTAAGAAACAAAATGTGGTAGCTAGATCAAGTGTAGAAGTTCAATTTCGTGCTATGACACAGAATTTGTGAGATTCTATGGATCAATATCATCTTGAAAGATTTGAAGATCAATAGAGATGGTCCAATGAAGCTTTATTGTGATAATAAATCAGCAATAAATATTGCTCACAATCTTGTTCAGCATGACAGAACAAAACACAAAGAGATTGATTGGCACTTCATAAAGAAGAAGATAGATAGTGGACAAATATATACTTTATATGTGCCTACAACTGATCAAATTGCAGATATATTTACAAAAAGACTACACAGTAACATATTCTATCATCCTGCGTCCAAGTTGGGAATAGACAACATACATTCACCAGCTTGTGGGGGAGTGTTAAAAATAATTTTTTCATTTACTATTTAGTTGTTTATTTTCCTGTCCATCATACCTTATAACAAAACAATAGATTGAACCGGTTCAAATTGAATTGGTCTGATTTACCCTCTCCCATTTCATAACAGCCAGTCAGTATAAATACCAACCGTCATGTAAGCATTTGTGTGTGATGAATTGAGGGCTTCGGCCTTCTTTTATTTTCGTGTCTCTCTCTTGTGTTACTGCTGGAGAAAGAAGGGAGGTGTTTGGAAAGGATCAAAGTCCAACACGATTACTAACACTTGTTCTTGAGATTCTTTGATTAATATTAAAAACACCTTAGCAAGTTGAAAACCTTTTTGTTTCATTATGAAAGTAAGGTCTAAGCAATCACATCAATGAATACTTCTTTCTTTCTAAATTTTTTTTATATTGTTCCTTGTTGCTGTTTTATTTTTCAGTCAAACCAGCAAATCAATCTTCGAAATTGACACATCATTTACCCAGGGAAAACCTTGTGAAGTTATCACTGTGTTTCTTTAATGAATATTACCAAACTATTCCTCAAGTTTCTTTCAATTTTTTTCGTTAAGGGTCAGGTGTAATCATTGGCAGTCTTTCTGCATACACTCGGTAATCTTCTGGTTTGGATATTCTGCCTGATTACCTCTCTCAATTAGAGGCTCAAAGTGCTTAGGATTCCCTCTGGGAGCTGAAGCATCCATTAATCTTTCTTTTACCAACATATATATTTGGACTGTCAGCCAGATTAATGCATTGCTGGCATACCTTTTCCAAATTTCATGGTAGGGAGGGCAGTGTTTTAAGTTTTCTTCAATCAATTTTGGTCATGTATTTTTGATATTCATGCTTCTTTTTTGTCCAATGCATCATCTTTAAAGTTTGAGTTGAAACCTCATTGAAGAAGCTAGACTTTCTCAAGTGGAGAAATTATTTAAATGACTCTAACTGATATGTTCTTTTCCACTTCAGGTTTGGATCAGTCATAATCGGGGCTATTCGCTCTAAATTGTCAGATAAAAGGAAAGGAAACGAGGTTAGAAAAACATCAGTAAAGAAGAGCAGTCGCCACGGTTCATTTTCATTTCATGGTGGTATGCAGGTAATTTTCTTCAGGAGCGAGAAGAATTTGACATTTGCGGACTAAATAAAATATTTCATGTGTTTGCCAAATTATGGGATTGCTACCCAACGAATAAAGCATAAAGGAAACAAGTTGGTCTTGGTTAAGCACCTGAATTTGATGATATGATAGGGTCACTCGAGGCTCCCAGGAAATAAGATCAGTCTTTTTGAAAGCGCCCAAATAGCCTACAGTCTGACCAAACTTTATTGATTCCGATCTCTAGGGGAGATTAGATCATTCCAAACGTCGATATGACATCAGTTTTCTAACAGAAATTGGTCGGCATTGAGAAGACAACAAGCCTAAAAGAAGATTTCTTTTGACGGGTAATTAACTTTCCATGTTCTGATCTAATGTTTCTTTGGGGATTGTAACTGGTTCATTGGCATAAACGAGGGAAAATTACTTTTCAGAGCTCTATACTGGCGTTTCAACCATACGTAGAATACCATGTATGTATATCTATAAAAAATCTAAACGAACAGTAAGATATAAAACTAAAACGCCAGATGAAAATTAAATGCAACTTGTTAAAATTTCGTCATAGGTGCCAGGACAGCTGAATATGTGGCTCTGCAACTTGCTCAAAAGATGATACAATTAGCCGCACTCATAGGGTTTGTTCTGATTATGTTGAATTTCCGAGGATAAACTATACTTGCTTTCTTTCCCCTCATTTTTGCAGCCTTATGTTTATGGATTAGGAAAAAGTTAAACAGGAATGCAGTGGACCAAACCTCGATGCTTTTCCTTTAAAACATTGACAAATTTTGCAACCCAGAATGAGGAACGTACAGAACAGAAGGTCTTTTGTGTTTTAGTTAGAGTCTCTAACCTGTTGAATAGATCATTTAAATCTAGAGAATGAGTCATATTAAATTAAACATGTAGCTGGCTGCCTTACAGTTTTGGCGTTTAACGAAGCTATACTAAATCTTCAACATTAATATTGTATCTGATGCTTGAAAGCCATTGTTTGTTAATGATTACTCCCATTCTTACCATGAGGCTTATAATCATTTACTTATTAATAATGATCATGTACTTTTTAACTTTAGTTATGTCATCTCGATAACCATAGCCAAAAAAGAGAAAATTCTAGGCGTCTTATTTAGCTGTTATATAGTGTGCGAGCACTCCATTCTTGTCATTCCAGTTTTAGCGACACTATCTGGATGTTAAGCTCTCGATGCTGTGTTATGCAGACGCTTATTGACGTGTTATGCACAGAGCTTGGGAGCGAGAATTTGAAGTTCAACTCAAAGGTCTTATCATTAGCATGTAGCCATGATGGAAACCCATCATTGGACACCTGGTCAATCTCAATTGCATCAAATAATGACAATCAGAAGGATGCCTTGACGTACAACTCTTTTGATGCTGTCATAATGACGGTATGTATGCTTAATATGTGGAAAATTTAAATTATGATGGCTTACATATGGTCGAAGATGGGAATAAATGATAGACTAAGTCCTCTCTGTGCAGTTTGTATTAATAGCTACATCATGTGTCGTTTATTCATTAATTCAATAAATAGTATTATGCATGATCGATGATTATTCATTAATGATTTATGGTTTACGACCGTTGATGAGATAGAAAGAGAAAAGAGTAGGACAACCTAGAGCTTCGTAGATCCTGCTTGAGGTTAGAACGTGTAAAAACAACCTTGGGAAATGTACTTTATTCAAAGTTTCAGCATCTACTTGAATATAGAACTGACTCACTGCAAAGGTTCGATGGCACATACAATGAACATAAAGACACTATTGCATCAGGTGTTACCTCATGTGCACACATAAGATAGCGTAGATATGATATGCTTGATACCCATATATTTTAAGGAATTTCTCTCTTGGCGCGTCTATTATCCTTTCATGCCGTTGATGTTCATGTTCATTTATCCTTTTCAGGCTCCGCTCTGCAATGTTGAAGAAATGAAGTTCACAAAAAGAGGATTGCCTTTTGTGCTTGATTTTCTTCCCAAGGTAGGATTTGTGATAGGTCAACAGTTGGTATCAAAACTGCAAACCGTCTCAGCTGCTTTCTTAAAGGCATATTTCCCATATCATGGCAGATAAAGGCCTCCACAGATTCCATCTTCTATGTGGAGATAGCTTCTCCCATATATTGGAGTGACGGTTCATCACAAGGGTGACTCTCCTTTTTTGGATGTCAAAACCCCTAAAACGGGCTTAATCATGAGACTTTAACGAGAGAGAGATGTAGAGTTATTATAAGACTGTTTGAAGAGCACCTTCCGTATAAAAATACTGACTTTTGTTACTCATATCAATGAGAATTCGTTTTCCTTCTTGGCATGTGATTACTTCGTGAATACTTAGGATGATATGGCTAGTGATCATTGAAAAGAAACTGAATCGGTCTTGGCTTAGTCAACTTGATTCCCATATTCGGCCAATTCATTTCTGATTCCCTAGGATTCAAGCTGTCAGAAGAACTAAAAAATATTGAATATATTTTTTTCTTAAAATTTTCCTATCACATTCCTACTTTTGGCACATTAGCATCCTCCCTTATCCAATGCAGGTAACGTATCTGCCACTGTCAGTCCTAATTACATCCTTCAGGAGAGAGAGCGTCAAAAGACCCCTAGAGGGATTTGGAGTTCTTGTTCCTTCGAAGGAACAAGAAGGTGGTTTCAAAACTCTTGGTAAATATAAGCCATATAATTTTTATTTCATCCATATTATGCTTTTATTTCCTATTATAGTCTACCCATATCACTCTGTTGCTCACAAGATTATAAGCAATTCTTGGAATCCCTATCTGCAGGTACACTCTTTTCATCTGCGATGTTCCCTGATCGAGCCCCAGCTGATCAAATACTCTACACCACCTTCGTTGGAGGGAGTCGGAACAGAGACCTAGCTGGAGCCTCACTGTATGGGATTTTATCCGTGCTCTAATCTAGATCATAATCTTGGAACTTTCCCTTATGGAAAGGAAATAAAAATGATTTTTTACATAAATTTAATTGTGGGCCTTATAGTTTTACCCGCTGTCCAGGGAAGAACTGAAACAGATTGTGCTCTCCGACCTCCACAAGCTCTTGGGTGTTGATGGAGAGCCAAGTTTTATCAAGTGCGTGCCCACCACCGTCATCGGATCCCTCTACATCTCCACAGGGCCTATCTCCTCCACTCGAGGGGCTCCTTCATTCATCATTACTTACTATATATAGCATGGTGTTACCGCAGGCATGTTTACTGGAGCAAGGCCTTCCCATTGTACAGTCGTGATTATGGCTTAGTTCTGGAGGCCATAGAAAGGATGGAGCGAAATCTTCCAGGGTTCTACTATGCGGGCAAGTCACTATCTACTCTTAATCATTTCCTCTACTGACTGATCTATCTGTGATAGTTGATAGAGAAGGCATGATAAACCCTTTTCGGTACAAACAGAATCTATATATGTATGTATATATTTATGTATATGTAGATTAAATTGCCTCTTATAGTGGATAACTTACCATCTAGCGACCTCTATATGGCTGAGAGGGCCTCCCAAGATCCTTCGTGGTTTTTTTTAAACAAATAATTGAATTTTCTTCTTCGTCTCAATGTGAGCTTGCAGGCAATCATAGAGATGGGCTTTCGGTTGGGAAGGCCATTGCGTCGGGATTCAGAGCCGCAGACCTTGCCATCTCCTACCTCAACTCTTCGGTCAGAGAAGACGCAGTATGAATTCAGTAACTTGGTTTTTCAAAGGTGCTCATCTCCCCCCTTCAATCCCTCTCAGCAATGGATAGAAGCCTTCGTTTGGAAAACCCTAGCTGATCCAATCTTCCGACAGAACTCTCTCTCTCTCTTGATACACATATATCTATTAGAGGCTTTTGAGGCCATTGGCGACGACGTTTATCTCTGAAGTCAACGATCTTACTTGGCTAAAACTGAGGATCATTCATACTGTTCAGTGGTGGATCATTGTTTCTCATACGGTACGCAGGATTCCGGGCCTAGACTTCATGAAGTCTAGGGCCGGCCCGGACCAGCCCGGGCCCGGGCTCGGCCCTTTCGAAACGGGCCAATGTGGGACAATAATGAGACGGCTAAACCAAGGCCTCGGGCCGGGCCCAGACCCTGCCTGGATAAGGACCAGGTCGGGCTTATTTTTACTCTGGCTGGGCTTAAGAACGTTTGAAAAAATGGGCCGTTCCCCGCTCCAAATTTACTCGGTCCATTACTATGTCTACTACGGGCACTATATCCCCGATTCATAATTGATCCAGGGATTTGAGAGCAGATGGATTGGCCCACTAAAGGCCAAAGAAATAGGCCCAATAAAGGCTTTCTTGGTTTTGGGCCGTCTCTATATCCATATGTGGAAAGTAAGCCGTGACAACGAAATTTACTATTGGGCTTCGGCCTCGGGGTTGGACAGAGCCCAGTTTCGTTCTTGTCTGGGTCATGTCAAAAACTTTGATATTCTCTCTCTGTCCCTCTATACACGTGTCCTGTGTCCATCTGGAGATGGAGGGCTGACGCTGGGCTTTAAAGAGTGAAACCAAATTGCCATTTTTCGGGCCTTTTTCTGGGCCCGGGATCGGGATGAATGGAATGGACGGTGGGGATTGGAGTGAATGGCGGAGAGCTTTAGTGTAATGTGTTCCGGCTAGGCAACTTACCCTCATTTCCCTCAAGAGTAAAACCCTAGGCAATGCCAGGCGCTGAAGCTCGCTCCTTCAGCTCGATAAAACCTCTGCCCGCCTCCATAAACCCTAGGGGTCGGGGTTGCTCCTGGAAGGGAGGGAGGGAGGAGGTTGTTGATTTGTTTGGAGGGAGGAGAGGGGCGAACTAGGGTTCTTCTGGGATGTCTCTCTACCTCCTCTTCGAGTCGGCCTCCGGGTACTCCATTTTCCAGGCGCACGGCATCGATGAGATCGGGCAGAACACCGAGGCGGTCCGGAACTCGGTCCTCGACCTCACTCGCTTCGGCAAGGTCGTTAAGCTCGTCGCTTTCAAGCCCTTCGCATCCGCTCTGGATGCCCTGAACCAGTGCAATGCAGTTTCTGAAGGTGAGAGCACGTGGAAGGAGCATCTGTCACGTTGAGGTTTATTGGACCACGTTGAGGGGGGCTAGCCGAGCTCATTATGGATAATTTTCTTCAGTATTTGCCTGTATGCCGGTCCTCTTCCTTGTGCAATTTGACCGTATAGTCAAGTAAGCGAGAAAAAATGGTCGATTGATGATCGCATGTATCCCTCGTTGCTTTTGGGCGTTTTCCTAGATGTTTGCCTTTACATTTGAATCTTCTCTCTGCCCATTTTTCCTGTTCAATCGCTCTGTCCGTTTACTCTAGTATCACCTTGGATTCTAATCTAGAGTGCGCCTGCTTGAGTTCGACAAGCATTGGCCCCAGATCTGTCTTCCACCATTATTGCCCTGTCATATTATATGTTTACCTAAATCTCATGTGTCATCTCATTTGTTCTTGGTTCCAGGTATTCTAACTGAGGAGCTGAGGAACTTCTTGGAATCCAGTTTTCCAAGAACCAAAGAAGGGAAAAAGGCCAAGTACAGCCTGGGGTTGGCTGAACCGAAGATTGGATCCCAGATCTCTGAAGTGACTAAAATTCCCTGCCAGAGTAATGAGTTTGTTCTTGAGCTGCTCCGGGGCATCCGTTTACACTTTGATAGGTTCATCGACAGCCTAAAGGTTTGGATTCAATATGTGGTTCCCTTAGCAAAACCTTTCAAGTCTCCCTTACACCAGCATACTCATCTATCCTTTTCTCATCATCGTGGACACTTATTTGCAGCCATATGACTTGGAGAAGGCCCAGCTTGGTTTGGGGCATAGTTACAGCCGCGCAAAAGTTAAGTTCAATGTCAATCGGGTTGATAATATGGTCATCCAGGCTATATTCCTGCTTGATACTCTGGATAAAGATATCAACTCCTTTTCAATGAGAGTCAGGTTGGTCGGACAATCGTGTTGACATATCATCTACTCTGTTCATGCACTTTCGAGTTTAACGATACATGCCCGGTAATCCTTTTGTTACCTAAATGCTAATTTTTTGTAGATGCCTCTTGCATCTGAGCTAGCAGTATGTTCTTCGAGAAAACAGTTCATTTTGTTTCAGGATATATTTATCAATATATGTATCTTTATTTAATGTTCTCAATCAATTTGACTATGCTAAAATTCATTTACTATTTAGCATTGATTTCATTTTTTCTGCTTAGGGTTCGAATCATTGCATATTCTTGGCTCTTAGATTTAATGTTTCGCACTTTTCTTCCACATTTCGTAATTTAATTTGTTTTAATTTCCCGTTGCTTGCAGAGAGTGGTACTCGTGGCATTTCCCCGAACTCGTCAAAATAGTAAACGACAACTACTTGTATGCGAAAATAGCCAAATTTGTGGAGAACAAATCAAACTTGACGGATGAACACATACCAGCGTTAGCTGACATACTTGGTGATGATGACAAGGCAAAGGAGGTCGTTGAAGCAGCAAAGGCGTCCATGGGTAAATGCCTTAGGATGAGCCTGTGCTCTTTAGGTGTCTAGTCCATGCCTTCTGACCCTCATTGTTCCTTGTCTTTTCAGGACAAGATCTGTCTCCCATTGACTTGATCAATGTCCAGCAGTTCGCCCAAAGGGTCATGGATCTGTCTGAGTACAGAAGAAAGCTTTACGATTATCTTGTCCAGAAGATGAATGACATCGCTCCCAATCTGGCGACCCTAATTGGTGAAGTCGTCGGGGCTCGCCTGATTTCCCATGCAGGAAGTCTCTCAAATCTGGCCAAGTGTCCTTCCTCCACCCTTCAGATTCTTGGCGCTGAGAAGGCTCTTTTCAGGTCTCTTAAAACCCATATATTGGCCGATATTAGACATGTATTTTTTCTGGACTATTTGAGATTAGTTCTAGTTCTAAAATTCTTCTTTGAGGTTTATATGGTGGGTTATAATGCTAAACCCTCCGACTACTACAAACCGGTGATTCATTCGTTATTCTGAACTTATTGAGGGCTCTGTAAATGAGAAAAAAAATGATTGGTGTGCGGTTATCATACTCATTTAATTGCATGTTGAGATCCTTAGTTTTAGATTGGACGGCCTAATATCTTAGGATATACGATTTGTATGCTCACAGACTAGAAATTCTTTTTTCTTTTTTTTTCTTTTTTTTTGGTTGTTGCCGGATGAGCAATTGCGTCTACTGACCTTGGTGAGTTTCCAGGGCTTTGAAAACCCGTGGAAATACCCCTAAGTATGGTCTGATCTTCCACTCATCGTTCATCGGCCGAGCATCAACCCGGAATAAGGGCCGTTTGGCCCGTTACCTTGCTAACAAGTGTTCTATCGCCTCCCGCATAGACTGCTTTTCCGGTGGGTCCATCCTTGTTCGGTGGCTGGGTTTAAACTTCGAATTATATATCGATTGGGCTGTCTTCTCAAACAGATTTTTGATGCTGCAGAGAGTAGCACCACGGTGTTCGGTCAGAAGCTGCGGGAACAGGTCGAAGAGAGGTTGGACTTCTATGACAAGGGAGTTGCTCCTCGGAAGAATGTTGATGTGATGAAAGCCGCCATTGAGAGTGCATCAAACAAAGAAGATGGTGAGCAATTTTAAGTGGGTTCTTTTTAGTTTTATCTCCCTATGGATTATATTATAAAATGGCCGTAATCATTGGCATCTTACATCAATCTACTCATATAACATGTGAAAATCTGTGGGTTTCTAGCTGAAGTGAGAACTGCTCTGTAATGATATCAGTTCTACTCTCATCCTACGTTTGCAGATACGAAAGAAGATCAGATGGATGTGGATGAGAAACCATCTGACTCCGCCAAGAAGAGCAAGAAGAAGAAGTCCAAGACAGAGAACAATGGTGCGGCAGAGCCCGCGGCTGAGGACGGGCCCCGAGTTGCGCCTCCGCAGCCCGAAATTGAGAAGAAGAAGAAGAAGAAGCACAAGCTGTCCGAGGAGCCAGAATCAGAGCCTGCATCCGCGAAGACGAATGGAGCGGACTTGGAGTCGGAGAGGAAGAAGAAGAAGAAAAAGCAGCACGAGGAGGCAGATGGGGTCAAAGACGTTCAGCCCACCAGCGAGAAGAAGAAGAAGAAGAAATCCAAGAGCAAGGATGATGAGTGAGTTGATCAGTCTCTTGGCCGAGCTCCCTGCCCTCAGAAGGAAATGAGGTGGGCCCAAGCTGGCCGAGCATCATCTCACCGATATCTAGAGTCTGTCTCCCAGAGCCTGTGTTCTTGGGATCAAAACCTGTGATATTCTTGGCTGAATTGAGTTATTGCTGCTTACTTTATTTTGGTACTTGGTTTCTACAAGCTGTACTTTGAGGAATGAATGATGATGATGATGATGATGATGATGATGATGATGCGTTATCTAAATAGATAATTGATGGGCTTCCTGTAAACCGGGTTTCAAACGGGCTTATTAATGCCAGAGCCCAGCCCGCTTTGAAGAAGGATAATTATTTCTAGTCAATCCTATAGTGGGGTGTATTATATCTATTCAACCGTATAAGTTCTCTGATTATTTTCCAAGGCCCTTGGCCTGGCCTTGCAAGAGTCACCTTCGGCTGACGGGAGGGGGGGGGGGAGGGGGAAGTGGTGAACATTGTTATTCTTACCGGTGGTGATGGGATTCTGCTCGACCGTATCCGCGGTATAATATCTGCAAGGAGAAGCTCCCCCTCCGCAGGTTGGCGCGTTCGACAGTCCCGAAGTGTTCCGGCATGTGGGCTCCGAGGGTCTCCTCCGGCGGCGGAATACGGCAACTCCCATGGATCAGCGGCCGGCGAGACCGTGGCCGCAGCAGGCAGCAGCAGCAGCCGCCAGCCACGGCGGAGCCCGCCACGCCCTCCAGGTTCGCTGTGGACCATCTGCTTCCCCCTCTTTTCTATCTTATGCGCTGTGGATTCTTCCTCTGGTCGTGGATTCTGCTAAGAACTCCTGGCGGTTCACCTATAGAGTCGCCTTGTTTACTTTTGAATTCTTACTGCCCAGTCTCTGCTAAGAACTTCTGGCTCGCTTTAGAAGAAGTCATTATCTGTATGATATAATCATCGGGATATTTTAGAAACCTTTCTTTTGATTTTACTCGAGATTCGGTGCAACCAACTGACCTGACGAAGAGCGTATCACACCGCTGATTTTATTTAATTTTCTTTTTTTTATTGGCCAGTCAAAGAATCGCACTGCCTGAACACAATTTGAGTCGAAGTCTTGCGGCTGTCTGATTTTCATCATTTGAGTTCGAGTTTGAGTAGGAATGTTCAGACTGAGGCAGTGCCCTCTCGTCAGTGAGATTACAGCAGAATGATGTGTTTTCCCTCCCTCCAATCGGAGGATCCCCAGCTTTTTAAATATTTAAATTATCTGCGATAGAAGACCTGATATGTTGAACATGAACGAGAGATAATTGATCAAACAAGGAAAACCACAGGCTTAGTGCGGCAATCGCTAAGAGCCCCATTCAATCTGCCATTTATTTCATTAAGCCATCCTTGTATACCATGAACATGTTCTTTCTTTGATTGAATATATATATATATAGATATATATATAGGTATGTATGTATGTATGTATGTGTGTGTGTGTGTGTGTGTGTGTGTGTGTGTGTGTGTGTATACTAAGTTTTTTTGGTAGAGTTTTGTGGGTGAGGATGGGTTCGCCTCAAAGAAAAGGAAAAGTCATTGTCTTGCGCTTCAGTCTCTGTTGGGAATCAAATCACATTTGGCATCTGTTTCTGCTTTTTTCTTTCCTTTACTTAGGGTGAGGTCTTCACGATCGGTGATGACTTCCATGAGAGTTTTCTGCCTCTTTTTATCGGGAACGTACGTTCAGCTGCTCGTGCGATTTAGATCAAGCCATCTATCTATCCTCTTGGGAGATTGACTTGGCATCTTTCTCGATCTGAATGAAGAATTAGATTTAAACTTTTTTCTTCGTGGGGACTTTAGGATGTAAAATCAATGAATTCCAAGAGCATTTCGGTCGCCAACAGACTATTTAACCAACAAAATTATGGTCCTGTATTGTTGGACTAAGTATGTTCTTGGCTTTAATGTATATTATCTCCAAATATTGCATATCCGTCGGACATAATTTTCGATGATTAGATTGCTCAATCATTATTGACTGCCAAAGATACAAATTTTCTTTCTTATATACCCGAAAATGCTTTCATCAGCTTGATGGATTCGAAATATTTGATCTTTGCAGAACCCAACTTGACATTTCCCAGCACGTCTTTGTCTGCAAGGCGAGATTGGGTAGGCATCTCTCTCTCTCTCTCTCTCTCTCTCTCTCTCTCTCTCTCTCTCTCTCCCCTGCGCGCGCTGAACCAGGTGATGTGGTCAATGTAACAACAGATGATTCTTTCTCACCCGGAGGTCAAGGGTTCACGACAGTCCCTTCAAACCTGCTGGTCGCAGAGAGGGAGGAGGCCAAGGCAGTTCTGTCCCTCTTCTTAAGGAAGCAGGGTTCCAGTAACGCGGTCGCCTCCAGGACAATAAACCGCTCAGATCAATTCATCGAGCATCTCATCTCCAAGCTCCACTCCATCCACAAGTCCCGCTACCTTGTAGGTTCGACCCTCCTCCTCCTCCTTCCTCCCCTGCTTTTCATTTCTTCTTCTTCATCATCATCTTTTTCCATTGTTCTTCTTCTTGTTCTTCAATTGCTTCTTCTTCTTCTTCTTCTTCTTCTTCTTCTTCTTCTTGTTCTTCAATTGCTTCTTCTTCTTCTTCTTCTTCTTCTTTCTTCTTCTTCTGCAAATGGGTTTGAACAGGCTGGGAATTGCAGGGAGGGAGCTGACGACCCTGGAAATAAGGAACGCCCTCGTCCCCTACCTGGAGGCCCTGCTGGAGGAGCACGGGGACCTCCTGGTGGCCGTCGTCGAGAACTTCCCCAACCCGCCGGGAAGGGACAGCCCCGCCGCCGCCAGCTCCCCGGCGCCGCCGCCGCCGCCCCCCGCCGCCGCCGACCCCTCCTCCAAGAAGCAGCGCGCCGTCTCCCGCGCCACCCAACTCGGCCCCCACGGTCACCTCCCCGACCACATCCTCTACCTCCTCGACCTCGGCATGGACCTCCAACAAATCAAGCTCGTCACCCACCGCTTCCCCGCCTTCGCCTACTACAACCTCGATAACAAGATCCGCCCCCTCGTGGAGCTCCTCCTCCAACTCGGCGTCGCCCGCAGCGACATCCCCACCATCATCTTCAAGCGCCCCCAGCTCTGCGGCATCAGCCTCTCCGAGAACCTCCTCCCCACCATGGCCTTCCTCGAGGAGCTCGGCGTGGACAAGAACCAGTGGGCCAAGGTCATCTACCGCTTCCCCGCTCTGCTCACCTACAGCCGCCACAAGCTCAAATCCCTCGTCGACTACCTCCTCCATCTCGGCGTCCCCCAAACCAGCATCGGCAAGATCCTCACCCGCTGCCCACACATCGTCAGCTACAGCGTGGAGGACAAACTGGAGCCCACGGCGGCGTACTTCCGCTCCATCGGCGTCGACGTCGCCGCCCTCATCCGCCGCTGCCCGCAGACCTTCGGCCTCAGCGTGGAGGCCAACCTCAAGCCCGTGACGGAGTTCTTCCTGCAGAGGGGGTTCTGCTTGCAGGAGGTCGCCGCCATGGTGGCCAAGTACGGGGCTCTGTACACCTTCAGCCTGGCCGAGAACATGACCCCCAAGTGGGAGTTCTTCCTCTCCACGGGGTACCCGTCGTCGGAGCTTGTCAAGTTCCCCCACTACTTTGGGTACAGCCTCGAGGAGCGCATCAAGCCGAGGTACGCCAAGATGACGGCCTCAGGGGTTCGGCTGGTACTGAACCAGGTGCTCTCCGTCTCCGACGCCGACTTCGACAGGATCCTGGAGAAGAAGAAAACGAAGCTCGACGAAGACGACCACCTTTCTGCCCTTGCCCAGAAGAAGAAGAAGCAATGGAAGGAGGAGGCGGCCCAGAGGTAAGCAAGCAAAGACCGCTCTCTATCTTCTTAGGTAGAAGGACCTGTATGTATATTTTTGGTGGCCTCCGCCTTCGCCCGCTGTGTATTTATTTATCTAACCCTCTTAATTACCCGCGGTGGGGGTATCTCTCAAAATATTAATACGTTGAGAGGTTAAAGGCTTTTAGCTAGGGATTTGGGGGTCGCATTGCGAGAGTACGGTACCCAAACCTTTTTGCCACCTGTACGGATTTATATTGCATTTCAGGGCAACGCCTTCGCGAGTAGGGCCGAACGCAAAATATCGATGTACTGGGTGGAGAGAGTGAAATGGCCCATCTTTTGCCACGTGGCCCCCGCTGGCTTTTTCCCGCCTCCGTCTTCGGCTCCACTTCATTCCGGTGATCTCCATAAAATCTTTGTCGTGGAAAGCGGTTGCTCACTGTCTCGTCTTCTTCCTCTGCTCAGCCCTCACCCGCCATGTCCGCGGATCTGAAAGCTGAGGAGGGACGACAGCTCCCCCCGGTGCCCTCCCTGGAGCCTCTGCTCGACTGCGCCTCCACTTCCGACCACGGCCGTCTCGATCGCTCCCTCCGCCGTCTGGAGCTGTTTCTCTCCCTCCTTGGATTTCATCAGTCCTCTTCCGTCATCAGCCTCCTCTTGTGTTTCTCCGTCTTCCTCCTGCTCGGTGTGGCGGTCCCGGTTGCTTCGGTTTATCTTGCTGGCTGTTTGGAGCGCAGATGCGAGGTCTATGAGGTCGGGATGTTCGAGCTGTTTGTGGTCGCTTCGGAGGTGTCGCTCGCTGTGGTTTCCCTAGCCTGCGTCTCCGTCAACCTCCGCAAGTATGGCGTGAGGAGGTTCCTCTTCGTGGATCACGATCACGGGCTGTTGGAGAAGTTCCGGGATCAGTACTCGGAAAAGATCCAGGTTGGGAGTTCAGTAAACTCGCTCTAGAAAAATAAATGGTCCGGAATGTATTTATTATCTCGAAAATTTTCGTAATGATTCATCCACGATAAATCGTTCTCGACATATATTTTTGTATTAGTTGTGTGACTTCGACGAGTGGTATATATTAATTGGAGATTTTTTTTGTAAGATAGCTCTTTATACCAAGGGAAATAATCTCACGCCTGTGAAGATTGGTAGCCAAACATACCGCTTGCGAAACTGTCATTTTCTGGGAATCAGTTTAGATTATTTCTGTCTAAATTTGGGTGAAGGACTTAAGTGGTTATATATGGAATTTAAAGGGAAAAGTGATATCGGTATTGCAATTTGTGCGAACTCTCTCGATTATGGGGATCAAATTTTGTGTCTAGCATGTGCATCCCAGTGGCTTAGTTTGAAATAGAATGATGGCTTATCAGCTTTGGAAGAGGTAAGTGGCGATAAAACATAGCCATTTTACCATATACCATGATACTGTGTCACTCTGTCGAAACCAACCCACCAAAAAGATGAGTTCATCTTCTTTCTTATCACCTAAGTGCTGGCACACATCCCATACGAATATATATGGTGGCACCAGCTATTTTCTTGCAATCATGGAAGGAAATGGCGTCTGAGCTTTTATCTTCAGCTATTTTTCAGGGTCTTCACGTCAAGATTAACCAGAAATATTTGGTTAAAATTTTAAAATTATCATTCGGGTTACACCGATTTTCCTGATTTCAGATTCTCTTATTGGACCTATTTTCGGACAAATATTTCCAGTCTTGCTTTTGTGCTTCTCTTAGGATCACACATGCTGATATTTTTATTTTATGCCTTATATCAAGCTAGACATCTCATGTGTTGATTCATGTTGAATAATAATTAGATGCAGGTCAGCTCAGTAGAAAAAGCTGATTATATCTATCATGTATCCAGTAGGATTGCAGTACTTAGAATTGGATTCCGGATTTTAATCGATTGGTGGATTTGGTTCGATTTTTATTTTTTTTGTCATCATTGCCGTTATTGTCATCTGACCTGGCACACAGAACTGGATGGAGAGGTGAGAGATGTCAACATCTGATGTTTAATTATGCCAACTTATTTATCGCCTGCTTATCTATTTATCGTGGGTTGTGGGGTGAAGTAGCATGATTAGGAGACGGGATGCCAGTTTTTTAATCAAGTCATTTTTTTTATGGCTAAGAGTCACAGATCAGCTTGTCTCGTAGTTAACCTTGCCTTTTTGCTGTTGTTGATGCTTTATGAAACTCTATGACCAGGTGATTCATGAGGCTTGAGAGAATACGAGAATATTTTGAGCTTTCTGTTGTCTAAAAGCCATAGCTATAAATTTTATACGGTTTTTCACCTTTGTAAGTGGGCACGTACTGGAATAAGTTTTCAGGCCTTTTCACACGTTGTTATGTTACTGAACCTTACTTTCAAATTTTATTACCTATGTATTTCAGACTTAAAATACGTGTTGGTATTTTATGGGATTTCCGGTGGTATATCCATATTTATTCATGAGTCTTCTCTGCAGACTTTTCTCACCATGAGATTTCTTAAGCATTTTGGAAGAAAAAGTTCCCCACCTTCTAATCTTTCCCATCAATATACTATGACATTATTTTCGCATTTAATTCCACTAGTCAAAGGATCCTTTCCACATTTTGTAATTTTGTCAAAAAAATCCAAGGATCAGAAATATTTTCGAAAATGTTTCTAAATATATTAAAAATACTTGAAGCGAAGTAAGTGTCTTCTTCATTCTTTTATGATTTTTCTCGTGCATTGGACTTACTTTTCTGGTGGAATAGGCTGGAGTATTCATCATTATAACGTAAATCGTTGCTTTTTCCGTGTGATATATCATAATTACCCTTCTATAACCTGCAATGAGCTTATTATGGTTGAATAGCTTCGAGAATAGTATCAACTAGATGGTGTTCAAAATCCTTCTGTTGACCATTAAAACTTTTTTAAATAGCAATAGATACGATACAGAGCCTAGAAGTCGAATTGCCCTGATCCTTTTTTAGTCATTTTTGTTGCTGAATGATGTAACTTATGATGCTTTGCTTTTCCAAAGCCTTTACTTCTCTATATCGTGTCAAAATTTCAGTCATAACATGTTTCCTTTCTAGAAATTCCTCCCTGGGCGATTTTAGTTTCCAAGTTTTAGAGCACCGTACAGACATTAAAACTACATTCTGGTCAAACCATTACATTAAGATAACCAAACTCCAGCTCGGGGGCAAACAAATCCTCTAAGGTAAAAAGAAATAAAAATACCATAAATATAAGAACAGGTCCATGCCCTTCTTATTATGAAGCATAGATTCTTTGATTAGTTGGTCTCATTGGACGTTAACATTTTCAATATGATAATTGCACTGGTACGGTACGCAGCAATAGTTTTCTGCCGTTATTTTTTGACATTTTTCTTCTGTCTTCTAATCCAAGATTGGTGTTTACAAGTTTCGAGTACCTCATTACTGGTACACTACATTGATAGTATAGGTATATCGAAATAAATGATGAAGGTCTAGAAAGAGAAACTTAATCAGTTCTCTTTTTTTTTTTGTAGGCTTTCTTCTACTTGCTTTTTTGGTGGATTTTGCCGTGCCTTGTAGTGAAGACTGCCCGAGAAGTCATCCGCTCTCTGTACACTCTTCAAGATTCATTATGGGTATCCGTCGCTACCTTGGTGGCTTCAATCGTTTCATGGACCTATTTGACGACAATCTTTCTGTCCGCCTGCGCTCTGTTCAACCTGGTGTGCAATTTTCAAGTCATCCACTTTGAGGAATTTGGCAGACTCTTCGAGAGAGATGTAGACGTAATGCATTTCCTGGAAGAGCACGTCTGCCTCCATTATTATCTCTCTAGGATTAGCCACAGGTTTCGTATATATCTTCTCTTAATCTTCCTGTTTATCTCAGCAAGCCAAGTCGTGACCCTCTTTCAGACCACGGGATACAGTGGCAAAGTCAACTTCACTAATGCTGGGGACTTCGCTGTGAGTCTCCCAATTTGTATAATATTTATTCAAATAAATAATTAAATTTTAATTTATCTATTTATTCATTTATTTATCTGGTCTGTCATTTGATTCTGACAGGTATCCTCAGTTGTCCAGGTTGTCGGTATAATTCTCTGCTTGCATTCAGCATCAAAAATATCCCACAAAGCCCAAGCCATTGCATCGCTAGCCAGCAAATGGCACGCCATGATAACATGCACCTCTATTGATCCGTCTCAACTAGGACTCACAAATGGCTTTGGCAATTCGCAGGCTATGCCATCTGGTTTACTAGTGATGAACTATCCTGAAAGCGATTTGGAGTCGTCGGACAATGCTGTGGTGCAAACGAATGCTCAAATGGCTTTCTATCTGTCTTCATACCACAAGAGGCAGTCCCTGGGTATGTGTGCCAAACACTAATCATTCTCCCACGTCTAAATTTCTCTCTTTTTAGTCGTTATAATTGTATTATTTTTTAATTTATTGGGCTTAAAGTTTATGACATTGCTCCAACATTATTGTAAAAGTTTACTTGCTTATCACAAGCAAGGATTGACTTCGTCATCAATCCATGAAAACCAAACCTCTCTCTCTCACACACACACAAGATCGCTGGCTTTCTCACTCTCTGCTGTTGATAACAACAGTACTCTGGAGTTAGACCCCTCTGGGTCGTGCTAGTCCTGAGGGATTTCCATGATCAACTGCCCTATGCATGAACTATTTTGAATTGAAAGAGCATGCAATTATGTTTTATTTTATTTTTACGAGCGACTTTCCAGGCTTCCATTCCTTGCATTGTCTTCAATTCTCACTGCTGCTGCTGACTCCAACTGTGCCTGCAGTGACATATTTGCAGGGCAACCCTGGCGGAATAACCATTTTTGGATGGACCGTAGACCGAGGATTGATCAATACGATATTCTTCATCGAGCTCTCCCTCGTCCTCTTCGTACTGGGGAAAACCATAGTCTTCTCCACCAAGTAATCTATTCAGCTGAACTTTCCCGAGGAGATGCTAGCCTCATGTGCCAAGATTTACTCATCTTGGGGACACTGGGTTGTATCGATAGATATACCCATAGGGGGGAAAAATCATGAAAGCATGATGTCATGATGATGGACGAGAAAGTTGGCATGCAAGGGATGCTAGGGCTTCAAGAAGCCAGGCTGCAGCTCCATGGAGCTGGAGATGCTCCAGGAGATCAATGGGGTCATGAGGGGTGTGGGCTGGGACTCCCATGAGGCATGCGAGAGCTCTATGTGCTGCTGGCCTCACTGTTGATGGCATGACTTCCATGGCCATCCTCAGTTGAGGTTTGTCGACCGGCAGCCCCATGACTCTGGTTTTTTGTGGCGACTTGTGGGGACGGATACATTTGATGTGTCTTCTCTCCTTTGTGGCTTGGAAGAGGGTAACCTTTCATCCAAGAGTCAGTCCTCTTGAAAGAAATTTGCTGTTTTCTTGAAGAAAAATTGAGGATGGGTGGGAACTGAACAAGTCGTTTCCAAAAAACTTTAGTCCAACCTTTAATGGTGAGAATCAGCTGGACAAAACAATCATATCATGATAATGACAGCCTCTACCAAACTGATTTTTTTTTACCAGAGTTGACTGACTCACTACAAGTGTTTGTAGTCATGGTTGAAAAATAGGACAACGATTGAAGCCCTATGGAGTTCACTGGAGACAAATCAAGAGTTGGTCCTGTGGAACCCTAATCTCTCTCAGCGAGAAGCAGGCTGCAGCTATTTCTTTTCCCAAAAAGCTCTTCCCCTCTCCTTTCTCCCTGATACTTAATCTATCCACCTTCCAAGTGCTTGGACTAGACTTATGCTCACCTTCTACACCTGTTGGACCCACTCTACTTACTAGGTTGTCAATCTGAGCCTTGTTCCTTTAGTAGGTTGATCTCCTCTTTTGGTGTTGATGGTCATATCAATACCACCCCCCCCCCCCCCTCACAGCCACCCCTTTTTTGAGCTCCTTTTGTCCTCAAGGTGAAATGGAGGGAATTGCTTCTAGATCATGGAGGCTGGTTCCTAAAAGGCTTCCTCTGGGGGCAAAGACTTCCAGACGCGCGATTGAGTGCTGTGTGGCTAGTATTTCTTCAGGCTGAACCACCGGTCAACCTGTTTTGCCAAAGGCCTTCCAATAGAGGATGATTCCAAGTAGATTTGCCGACTATCCTTCGTATAAGTGAAACATGGAAAATAGGGTGAAGTAATGAGGACGAAGGGAGGTCTAATTTGTAGGCAATTGATTTGATCCTTTGCAGGATTTTAAAGGGTTAGTAGTAGTAGGGGGACAACTGCTCATTAGGTTTTCTAGCTAGCAACTTCATATTGTAGGGTCGTAATTTGAGGAAAACTAGATCTTCGACTTCATATTCTATAATCCTTTGATGCTTATTTGTCTTAACCTTCATTTGAGACTGAACTTGATGAAGATAATACTTGAGCTGTTCTATTGCCTGATCTTTGGACATCAATAACTAGTCCACTTTTATAATTAGAGTTGTGGGAGATCCATAGTGCAATAGAGGGGCAAGTCTCTACTCTAGAGGGCCTTAAAAGAATAGTATCGATTGAATTGTGGAATGAAGTGTTGTAGTTGAATTCGACTCAATGAGGTCAATAACTCCACATCTTAGGGTTGTAGGATGCATAAGATTGAAGATAATTTTTCACACATCTATTCATCACTTCAATTTTGGCCATCCATCTGAGGATGATGGGACATACTTCGTTTTAAAATGCTCCCTTGGAGGCTAGATAGTTCCGACCAAAAATGACTCATGAAAATAACATCTATCAAAACTGATAGACTTAGAGGCACCCTAGAGGCAGAAAATCTCTTTAGTGAATTTGTCTTCGATGGAACTTGCTAAAAATGGGTACTTCAGAGGGATAACGTGTGCATATACTTAGACATTCTATTCACCATGACCAATATGGAATGAAATCATGTAGAAGATGGTAACTCCTCAAGAAAGTCCATGGCGATACTTACTGGCTCATACTTGATCAAGGATAGGAAGCGGTTGTAGGAGTCCCGCCAAACTAGGGATGATGATTTGTTGCCTAGGTAGACTTCATAGGCATCTAAAAATTCTTTAATCCTTTATTTCAGCTCAGCCCAATAAAATTGCTATGAAATCCTCTTGTAAGTCTTTAGGCCCCCCCCTGGTGGACTATCATGATACTCCCAAATTATATCTCTAACCACTTGAGACTTTGAGGGAAGCATTAATCACCTTTTATAGTAGAGAAATTCATGATTGAGGGTAAAACTCAGTCGGGAGTCCTCCCCCTCAAGGAGAGCTCTATAGATGGGGCCTGAAATAAGGTCTATCTACATGTCAGCCCTTCATGAGGACATGTCTGCACCCACATACTGAAATAACCTCTTGTAGTTGAATAGTGTGGAGGCAGCAAGAGAGTGTATCCGTCACCTTACTGCTCACTCCCTCTTTCTACGATATAATGAAACCATAGTCAATTAACTTTAAAAATCATTTATGAAATTGAGTAGGCACTTGTTGTTGTTGATTAGTGAGGAATTTTAAGTTCTGCTGCTCAGTGTAAATCATAAATCTGTCACCCATAAGGTCGTGTCTCCATTTGAGAACTGCATGTACTCTAGCTATAAGCTCATGCTCATACATCGACTTAGCTTGATTCTTTGGGGAAAGGGCTTGACTAAAATATGTTAGTAGCTGTGTTTATGTTGTATTAACATGGCTCCCTGATCATAACCGGATGCATATCTCTAAGATGAATTCTGAAGAGAAATCTAGAAGGGAAAGTACTGAGGTGGAGGTGATATTCTCCTTAAGTTTCTGGTACGGATTTTCTGTTGCTTCCTACCAATCAAAAGCATCTTTCTTGAGCTATTCTATCAAGGGGTATCAAGGGGTACGCCAACATAACATAACCTGCCACAAACCTGCAATTAGGCCTTGAAATCCTCTTAATTAGATTAGATTGGTAGGGGTTGGCCACTTGAGCATAACTTTATTTTTTTCCTAGTCTGCTGCCACTCCTACATAAATCATGTGTCTGAGATACTTTGGCTCTAGTCACGCAATCGAGCACTTCCTTTTATTTTACATATAGTCAATGTTGCTACAGAATTTCAAAAACCTGTTTTAGGTGTTGGAGAGCAATTACCCATCATTGCTGTAAATTAAGATCTTGCCAAAAAAATTAAGACGAATTTATGGAGGTAAGGCTTAAAACTGTCATTCATTAGTTATTAGAAGGTAGCTGGCACATTTATGAGCCCAAATGACATCACCACGAACTTGTAGTGGCCTTCATGAGTCTTGAATATAGTTTTGTCCACATCCTCTACCTTCATCCCTAATATGATGAAAACTCAATTTCAGATCTAATTTTGAAAAAATGGTAGCTCCAAATAACTTGTCAAGGAGTTCTTCCACTACTAGTGTAGGACGACCACCCCTAATCTTTCTTCTTTACTAATAGCATTGGGCTTGAAAATGGGCTTCAATAGAGAGATATAATTTTGTCCCTACACATCTCTTGAACCAACCACTCGAATTCATCCTTCTGAAAATGAGAATATTTAAAGGGGTTAATGTTAACTCGACTGGAGCCTTCTATGAGCTGGATAGAGTGATCTACACTTTGAATTGGAGGAATCTTGTGAGTGGGATTGAAAACCTCTTCGGAAGTTTACTTCTAGGCTCCTCTCGAGTTCCTCAGCAAAATCTAATGAATAGTCGGCATCTTTTGGCAAAGAGAACTGATGTAATTCTAGAGCCACAGCTCCTCCTTCTGCCAATACCTTGGTTAGTGCCTTAAAAGACACTCATGGCCTACACAACATAGGTTATAACAACTCCTTTTAAGAAAAATTTCATGGTTAGTTTTGACCAATGTATATGCATCATCTTGAGGGTCCACAGTCAATTCATTCCCAATATGACTTCCAGACTTCTCAATTCTAAGGGTAAGAATTCTTGCACCATGATCAGCCCTTGAACAAACAGTGGGACAATTTTATAGACCCCACAACTCTTCATGGTCAAATAATTACCAAATAAAATCCTATATCCTAGTGTTTCAGTCAAAGATAGTTTCAATTGTTTAATGAGTTCTTCACAAATGAAATTCTGGGTAGCCCCATTGTCAATCATCACTATGACTTGTCTTCCTTTGGTTTCTCCTTTCATCCTCATAGTCCTCAAGTTGGTGAGGCCAATGACCAAATTCAGGGAGATTTCTATCATCTATAAAGGCTCTTCTTCAAACTGAATTTGTGTTAATGCTCTATCATCAATGCTGCTTGGACTGTTAGTCTTGACATCCTCCCCCCTCTTGTACCTCTATCATCATCATGCATGATCAAAATTTGTAATTATGTCTTACAGCAGTGGCCTGGACCAAACCTCTCGTCATAGTGGTAGTAGAGCCTTGTCCCTCCTCTCTTACAACTCGGCCAATGTAAGGTTTATTCTTCTTCTACCTCTAGCCCCTTATTTTCCTAAAGGAAACTCTAAGCTCTTGGCTGCTGAGAGATAGCTCAAATTGATTGAGTGGTTTGTTTCTCTCCCTATTGGTTTCAAGGTCCTATGATATATACTATAATCTCCCTCTTTATTCCTTGCTCTCAGCATTGATGATGAGAAGTCTTATGGGTCTATGTATCTAAGGCCCTCACATTGATCAAAGGCTTTAGAGCTTTAACTTCTGCCACTAATGAGAGGTTCAAAATTTCTTGTAGGTCATTTAGTGTATTCATACTTAGCTCAACTTGAATCTCTTCCTTTAACCCTTGATATAGTTTTTTTTCCACGGCCTCTTCTGAAATCCTTATTAGAAATATTGATAATGTCTCAAAATCCTTCTATATTCATCCACTAATCTCCCATGCTTGAGTGTTAAGAATTGTTTGACTATGTTGCCTTCTAATGATTTGATGAAGCATTTGAGTTGTAGTCAAAGGTCTTACCATCCCTT